GTACTCTAAAAAATGTACTATATCATAAGCTATCCCCCGCATATGCCACCCATGGAGTGACTATTTCGGCGAGTGTTATATACGGGGGATTGCGGTAGCTAGCCTAGAGCACACGATCGAGGCTCGGCAGAGCTGAGACATGTGGTTTGAAAATTGACGCGAAGCGCCCAGATCTAGGCATGAAACAACAAGGCGGACAAAATGCATGTGGCGCGTCAGGAGGCCACATTTGGGTACCGCGATTTGAATTTTGTATCGGAGCTTTGCGGCAACCCTGTTATAGCAGTGTACGCCTCACTAACTAAAACCCATGATAAGGAAATAATGTATTCTCATAATTGTGGTATGCAAGCATCTGCCATGGCGCGGTTATCTACATACTCGTTGACACTGTCATTCACGTCGAACCAGCTTACGGCTACAATGCCAGAAACAATCACGCCGATCTCTTCAAGAAATCTCTCATCTCAAGCAGCAACACTTCCTCACCATCCTCCTTATCATCAACTTCATGCAGCCCTCGTACGACCGTATGATATGCCGACTTGCAACACACGATATCCTCTACACGGGCTACATCAACGACATCTTATATATGGGCACAAGCTATCCCCTCAGGGTGTATGACTAGGTGATGCCCTCCGCATGACAGAACTGGCCAAGCCGACTGGAGGCGAACTCGCCTCCACTGTGAGAGTACGATACCGTTACACCAATTTCCCCTTTCCATATTTCATTTCTATTTCATTCCTCTTTCACTCTTGATTCATTTGGTCTTTATCTCATCTCATTTGGTTTCCTATTCCTCATTTTCCATTATCCTTGGGTTTATCCTATTATTATGATTATATCACCGACCAGGCTCGGGATGTACTGGCGCGCTCTATCTAGCGTAATCCTGCCGTAATCCCTTAAAGCCAATAGCCTCGCGTGGCTATACGCAGGGTGATTCTATTTCTAGAAGGGTCTATTCCCTTTGGATAGGATAAGCCTGGTTACCTGATGTATTCTGGAAGTATAAAAGCACCTTGTACTGATTGATAGTGCAACATTGAGCAAACCTTTCCTCGACACATTCGATCCTGTGACATCCACGGTCGGAGTGGAGACGCAGCACAGGGAGGCCGCGGTGGACTCGCGCAGCTACGACCCACGGGATAAGAACGTTAGGCACATCGGCCTTCCGCTCCAGGGGAAACACCGTGGCGTAGCGCGTGTAGTCCTCGACAAGCACTAGAAAGTAGCGCTCGTGACACAGCCTAGGGACAGGGGCTGGGCCCCAGACGTCCAGGTGCAGGGTCTGGAGTGGCGCAGTGGTAGGGGGAAGCGAGGAGGAGTGAGGAGCACGGCGCAGCTGGCCCTCGACACAAGGCGTGCACGGCAACGCAGGCGAGGGAGGGAGGGCAGGGAGCAACGTAGGGAGACCGAAGACAAGACCGTGATGGGACATGTAACGCAGACGGGGAGTGCGAAGTGACCTAGGCGGTGGTACCACAGCAGCGATGGATGAGTGAGCGACCGACACGAGCAAGCCGCAGCGACCTGGGTCGACGCAGGTACCTGGGGGTACGCTTTCACCAGGGGGGACGCAGTGTTAAGCGTAAACAGGCCAGACACAGAGTCCCGGGGGAACGTGGTCAGAGGAGCACCAGTGGCGGCCTCGGTACAAACCGTGTACCGCTCGTGACCAGGGAACGTAGTGGTGACGCCGAGGTCCTGAAGACACCCGACACCAACTAGGTTCCTGGAGAACGAGGGGATGTGCAGACAGGGAAGGGTGGTGGAGCTACGGGCAACTACCGGACCTTAGGAGGGGTCAGCAAGCGTGCCAGCGGCAGGGGCGGCAAGAGGCGTGAGCGAAATGTGGTCGCGGAAGAAGCAGGTAGACGCTCCAGAGTCAAGCGTGGAGGAGAGTTAAGCAGTAGCGTCCGCGGGCGGAGGGGCTAGCGTGAAGCCTATGCTTAACAAACCTAATCAGATCAATGTCCATCTCAAAGACAAGCACACGATGACGCACCAGGTTGTACCTGTCGCGAGAGTCTGCCGTAGGGCCGAAGCGGAGACGGAAGAGGTTGTCGAGGCGGTGGTAGCAGCGTACGGCGGTGTGACCAGGGCGGTCACAGACGGTTCCGCGGCGGTGGCCGGACTGAAGCTGGGGAAGGTGACCACAATGGAGCCGCCACCTGATACCGAGCTGCGCCCCCCACCACTACCAGAACTGCCAGGTCACCACGGCGGCGGGGGCGCCCATGGCGACTGCTGCAGCTGCTGCGGTTGAGGCTGCTACGGCTGATGCTGCTGCTGAGGCTGCTGCTACTGCTCATGATGATGAGCCTGCTGCTCCGGGGCACCAGCACCGGTCCCCTCGGCTGCACCACCGTCCCCTCCACCACCTCCGCCACCTCCGCCACCCTCGCCACCCTCGCCACCCCTCTCGCTACCACGCCCCCCCAGACTCGGCGTCCCCTACCCTGACGCAACTGCGCTGAGGCCGCCATAGCGGTGTCAGCAGCCGGGGCCGTCTTAGCAACAGCGGCAAAGGCGTCAGAGTAAGTGCACTGGGAGGGAGCACAGCCCTAGAAGATAGGGATCGCCGCAATACCGCTCGACTGAGCGATAGTGCGCTGGCGAGTCTCTATCGCGGCAGGGTAGTGAAAATATCAGTAAGGGTTAGGTCAGCAGGGTGGAGGGCAAGTGGTCGCGGACAGTGGCTAGGCGGTCAGGAAGGCGCGTGGCAAGGAAGTAGAGGGTAGCGCCGAGGGGGGGAGGCAGTACAAGAAGCTAAGCCTCAGTGCTAGCAGTGCGGTAGCTAGTCCCTAGTGTGCGCAAGTGAGTGGCAAGATCAGCGACAGTAGGAAAAGACGTAAGGTCAGGGAAGAGCATGGGGAGGAGGAGACGACCGGCAGAGGCGGAGGAGGGAATAGAATAGCGTGCAATAACAGCATCTAAGTACGCCAGCGCAGTCTCTAGGGCCTGATAGCGGGGGCGCTCAGACAGGAGGAGGGCGCGACTGATAGCAAGCTGCGCAATTGCGATACGCGACTCCCAGACGGAGCGAGCGAGTTCAGAAGCTATAAAGGCCTCACGCTCAGCGGGCGTGGGGGCGTCAGAGAGGGCAGCAGGCGGGTCGGGGCAGGGGATCTTACCGTCGACGTGAACGGCCAGAGACTGGCCATCCTGGCGCTGTCCCCTCAACGAGCGGCGGAGGTCAGCGAGCCACGCCTCAAAGTCGATCGCCCGACCCTCCGCGTCTAGGCGGAGCATAGCGTCCGCCATCGCCACGGCTGGAGCAGCTGACTGCCGCTAGGGGAGGGGGAAGAGAGGGCAGTGGAGAGCAGCGGTGGAGACGGCCGGCTGGAGAGCCGACACAGGAGCTGGAACCTAGGCCGGCAGGTCGGGGCGGCACAGCAGCACGGTGGCTCAGCGACTCGGCAACTCGGCGACGCGGCGGCTCTGCTACTCGGCGACTCGGCTACTCGGCAGCTCGGCAGGTCGGCTACGCAGCGGCTCGGCGGCACGGCGCGGCGCGGCGTGACGGGGCGGCACGGCGCGGCGGGACGCGGCAGCGGCGTGGCGTGACGGGGCCGGCGGGGCGCGATGGGGCCGGCGAGGCCGGACGGGGCTGGCACGGCGTGACGGGGCCGGCGCGGTAGGACAGGGACGGCGCGGCGTGACGGGGCCGGCGCGGCGAAGCGGTGCTGGCGCGCTGGGACGGGGCGGCACGGCATGACGGGGCCGGCGTGGCGTGACGGAGTTGGCTTGGCGTAACGGGGCCGGCGCGGCGGGACGGGGCGGCGCGTCGTTGCGGGGCCGACGCGGCGTGACGGGGCCGGCGCGTTCTAGCGGGGCCGGTGCGGCGAGACGGGGCCGGGCTAGAGTGACGGGCCGGTGCGGCGTGACGGCATCGGCGTGGCTTGACGGGGCCAGCGCGGTCTAGCGGGGCCGGCGCGGCGGGACGGGGCCAGCGCGGCGGGACGGGGCCAGCGCGGGGTGACGGGGCCAGTGCAGCGTGTCGGGGCCAGCGCGGCGTGACGGGGCCAGCGCGGCGTGACGGGGCGCGGGGTAGGGCGCGGTCTAAGGCTAGGGATAAGGCTATGGGCGGAAGCTTAGGTGGGAAGGGGGACCTAACCTAGCGTGATACCATGTTAGTATAGCGCAATGATTAGAAGGAAGAGGGAACAAGGGAGATATAGGGTTTGGTTTGCACTCTTTAAGAACACACACTTATTCTAGCCTATAACTTCTACATACAGATGTATGTATAAGTTGACACCTCTTAGTAGTAATCTTTTTTTTTACCTTACATTCATATTGGCAATGTTAACTACAACAATGACCTTTGTTGTCTTAAGGACTTGTTATCTAAATTCCAACGATACTGTTGCGATGTTATCGCAATTAACGAGATAAGGTGAGTCAGAAGGCATTGAAATAGCCCTTTCTCACGCATATGTATAATTAGCAAGATTAGCACTACCAAAAGTTTTCAATTGACTCATCTAGTTGTTAGTAGTATTGGAAATACAAGTAGCAAACCATGGAGGTGACTAGCAAACCAAGTAAATTTTATGTTGGGCTTTTCTCAGCCCAACATGGTATGAGAGCTGGTCAGAGACCAAACTCCCATCAACGGCATCCTATCTATAGTCAGTACATCAAAAACACCTAAGCCAACAAGTAGCAAACCATGGAGGTGACTATCATCGATTGGCACAAATTTATTGTTGTCCTGCAAAATAATTTGATATACTTGTTGTATGGGGCTTCAACACAATACGGTGAAGATTGTTGCATTTATGATGAATGAATTCACCATAAATGGTAAGAATCTTGGTATTTGAGAATGGTGATTTGAAGGACACTCTTTTGAGCAAGGGAAAAGGTATTCTAATAACAGCTCAACAGCTTGTTTCGAACCGAGTACCGTGCTGCACCGCAACGCAGCACCGAAACTACACAGCCTCGCAGCCCGTCTTCCTTGCAGCAGTCAGCCTCCCAGCACTGGGCGAAGCATCCCTCATCGCACGCGCATCTTCTGCAGCCATGAGCGGCGCGGGCACCAACTTCGGCGGGCTGTCGGAGGAGGCGGCGCGCGCGGCGGGGATACGGGGGAAGAAGAGCACGTTCAAGGAGAAGACGTGGGTCAACCCGTCGCGCACGCTCTACATCACCAACGTGCCGCCCGGCGCCTCCACTGACCAGCTCGAGGGGGTGAGCGCGCGCCCAGCGGCGGCAGCGGGATGCTTAAAGAGCGAATCTCATATGGCCGCGTGAAATCAATCGATTTGATCCCAGCTCTAGGGCTTGCGGTCGTTACGTCCAGGTCGCTGACGGCCGTTTACTTGTGTCGCCCCTCTGACGGGCCATGCGAGCGAGCGCGATGTGCGCTGGCAGGCGAGAGGGAAAGAGGGATGATGTGATAGCAGGCGGTCGGCGTTGCGTACCCCTGGTGCGTACGCCGATGGCTGAGAGCCCTCATGCCCAGGCTGGGACTCACCTTTGTTATAACTCAATCTATGCGGAGCCATGCGGTGAGCCCCACTTGAGTCTCAACCTCCACTGCTCCTCTCCCTCCCCACCCCTCCCCCCTCCCATCCTCTTCGCCCTCCCGGGCCGTGCTCTCACCGCGCTCTGCGCCAGCTGTTCCGGCATCTGGAGGGCTTCATCGCCTTCCGACGGGTGAGATGCCATGATGGCATGGGATGATGGGATGATGGCATGGAATGATGGCATGGGACGATGGGATGATGGCATGGGATGATGGGATGATGGCATGGGATGATGGGATGATGGCATCGGATGATGGCATGGGATGATGGGATGATGGCATGGGATGATGGCATGGGATGATGGCATGGGATGATGGGATGATGGCATGGGATGATGGGATGATGGCATGGGATGATGGCATGGGACGATGGGATGATGGCATGGGACGATGGGATGATGGCATGGGATGATGGCATGGGATGATGTTCACGGCGCAGGCCTTGGTCAGGGCAAGCGTGTGTAATGAGTCGATTTTTTAGTCGACTCAAAAATCGACTCATTACACACTTGGTCAGGGCAACCGTCTGTTCAATGGGGCCCTAGGCGCTCGTTGACGGAGTCCCAATCCCAAGCATGCTTGCATTGGCGCTGTTGTGTTGTGTGCAGGTTCGCAGCATGTGCTTCGTTGACTTCGACGAGAAACAGCATGTGAGTGCAATTCGTTCCAGCACGTGAGGGCACAGCCCCTCCTGCAATTCCTCCCATTCCCTCACCACTGTTTGCTTGCCGGTCCCATGCCTCGCTGCTGCCCAGTTTCCTCCCACCACTCCTCGTGCTCCTCCTCCCACCCCATGCCTCATGCAGGCCACAGCCGCCATGTGGAAGACCAACGGCCACAAGTTCAAGCCACACCACGATGGGCTGCTCGTCAGCTACGACAAGGTATGGCACGTGCCGTGCTGCTGATGGGCTCATCCCATCACCTGCGCGTCTTGCTGTCCCTTCTGGCCAAGGTATGCTCGTCAGCTACGACAAGGTATGCTCGTCAGCTACGACAAGTTATGGCACGTGCCATGCTGCTGATGGGCTCATCCCATCACCTGCGCGTCTTGCTGTCCCTTCTGGCCAAGGTATGCTCGTCAGCTACGACAAGGTATGCTCGTCAGCTACGACAAGGTATGGCACGTGCCATTCTGCTGATGGGCTCATCCCATCACCTGCGCGTCTTGCTGTCCCTTCTGGCCAAGGTATGCTCGTCAGCTACGACAAGGTATGCTCGTCAGCTACGACAAGGTATGCTCGTCAGCTACAACAAGGTATGGCACGTGCCATTCTGCTGATGGGCTCATCCCATCACCTGCGCGTCTTGCTGTCCCTTCTGGCCAAGGTATGCTCGTCAGCTACGACAAGGTATGCTCGTCAGCTACTACAAGGTATGCTCGTCAGCTACGACAAGATATGGCACGTGCCGTGCTGCTGATGGGCTCATCCCATCACCCGCGTCTTGCTGTCCCTTCTGGCCTGCATCTCCTCTGCTTTCCATCCTTTCCCCTGCAGCATAACGTTTCGTGATTCATCCCTCTGAGTCCCTCCACTCCACCTCTCCTGGGATCACTAAAAGCCCCAAAAAAAAAATAAAAAAAAATCCACTCCACCTGTTCTCCCCCTTCCCCCCCCCCCCCCTTCGCCTGGCAGGACGACGGCGAGGAGAAGGGCGGGTGGAGCATGCGGCAGCGCGTGGAGGAGCGCCAGCGCAAGGCGGAGGCGGACCTTTCTCGCGTGCTGTACCGCTGCGCCGCCTGCAGCCACTTCTGCTTCAAGCTGGGTCAGTTGGGCTGCTGTCGCACCGTGGAAGTGTTACAATGCTGCGAGTTTGGTTACCGGCACACGCAGAGTCATTGGATACCATCCACCTGTTCCCCACACCCCACCCCCTGTCTCCCGCCCTCCTCGTCTCCCCCTTGCCTCCACCTTCCTCTCAGCGCGCCCTCCATCAGCCCTGCCCGTGCGGCGCACACATGGCAGCCGGGTGCTGGGTGCATCTACAATCTTCTCCCTCTCCCTCTCCTCGTTTCCCCTCTCCTGCCCCTATCACGGCCTCCTAGCGCACCCTCTGTTGGTCCTGCCGCTGCGCTGCATGGACGGCAGCCAACGACTCACCATCTGTGTTCCAACGCCTCCCCGTCCCCCCTCTCCCCCCTCCCCACGCCTCTCGCTCAGCGCGCCCTCTGTCCGCGCTGCCTGAGCGCCGCACGGACGGCAGCCGCGTGGTGGAGACGGCCACGGACCTGGTGACCATGATGGCCGTCAAGGGCGGCCAGAAGCTGCTCAAGAGGTGGGGGGGATGGTTGTTGGGGAGGAAAAGGGTGGGAAAAAAGGGAGGGAGAAGCTCTTGAAGTTGCTGTAGCAGCTGCTTGCCGCTCATTGTGTGCGTGCTGCTCTCACTTCTTGCTTTCTTTCGCCTAGCTCTCTTATTCTCGCAGGTGCTGAGTTGGCAGGCCTCTTCATCTCTTCTGCTGCTCCCTCTGGATGTGGACTGTGTGTGTGTGAGTGTGAGTGTGTGTGTGTGAGTGTGTGTGTGAGTGTGTGAGTGTGTGTGTGTGTGTGTGTGTGTGTGTGTGTGAGTGTGTGAGTGTGTGTGCATGATGCAAGGATGCATAATCGAGATGCATGGTCTCAATGTGAGTGGACGTGTGGCATGTGTGCGAGCATGAGTTAGCGACTGACCATGCATGAACCCATCTCTCATTGTGCATGCATGCATCATGCCGTTCTGACTGTGTTGGGCAGCAACCATTGCATTGGTGTGCTGCCATGACACCCATGCCATGCCATGGAGGGTCCGTTACCAACGCTCAACAACCATGGCGATGTGCCGCTAATGGGCTGGCACCTCTGCTTCAACCATGCCACATCATGTCGCCCCACCGGCCGCTACTTCCGGGAGCAGGGAGAAGGGAGTGGAGCGGCAGTTCCGCTACAACTGTGAGCTGTGCGACGCGTGCATCGCGTACCGCCCCGTGCCGTACGACCAGGACTCCAAGTTCATCTACCTCTTCCCCGAGGTCAGAGCGTCTCGCCATCACCGCCCTGAGAGCCGCAGCATCTCATCGCGTTTCATCCTTCCCCTGCAATGCTCCAGCGCTCGTCCAACCCCACCCCTTCCCTCCCCCCCACCCCCCCCTCCCCTGTCAGGCCTTGACAGAGTCGAAGCCCGGCCAGCCAGCGCTCTCGTCCCCGGCAGCAGCGGTGGCAGCAGCGGTGGCGTCGGGTGTGCCGGTGTCCCCCGCGGTGGCTCAGCTGCGCCCCGTCACCGTCGCCGCTGACGGGCTGCCCTCCATCCTAGGCCGCCCGGGCATGGCACTTCCTGTTATCGATGAGGGTGCTGCTGCTGCTGATGGTGATGGTGCTGCTGCTAAAGCTGCTGGCGATGATGCTGGTGGGGGTGGAGGTTCCGGTGATAGAAAGGAGGACGGAGAGGGAAAAGGGGTGAAGGAGAGCAAGGAGGGGGTGGAAGGGAAGATGGGGAAGGAGGGAGATGGAGGCGAGGTGGAGGAGGGTAGTAGCAGACAGGGAAAGAGGTCAGAGGTGCGTGCTCCCACTGCTGGTTGCCTATAAGATTGCATGAGTCTTATCCAGAATCCTATTCCTTAAACCGTATTTGCACTCTTCACCTGCTCTGTCCTGTCTCCATGTTCGCCCCCTTCCATGCAACAGGATGCAAGCTCCAAGGATTGAGTGCAGGTGCATGCCTGCCACCAGCCACAGGGGTAAGTTAGGTCTACTAGACCACTGGTAGGGTTGGACCCAAAGCACTCTCACCCACCACCAACTGCGACTCGTGCTGCCCATTTCAATTGACCAGCTGAGCTGTGCCTGTTTGCCTACTTTTCCCGTGTTTGCTCGGCCTAGTAAAATTGATTAGTACACTTAAATCACTTCACTTGGTGTGTATTTGTGGTCGGAAGTTCCTCTTGAACTGTAGTGTCGAGTGTCTGTAGAGAACACGTTTCTCTGCACTCATAGAAAAGCTGATTGCCATTGAATGATCGTTGGCGTGCACAGTACCATCAAACTATTCAGCTAAATTCCTGCTAGCCTAACTTCGACTCTATCACCGAGGCATCTAGTACCGCGTTTGCGCCCCACCGGTCTCTCGCTGCTAGAGACCAGCCAGTCATCTGCCAGCCACAGCGTAGACTGTTAGAGCACTGCAACATGGCGACTGGCCCGCCAGCGCCATGACTCGCGCTCCCGCGCGTCCACCATGACCTCTCTCGTCGCCCGCCACCACGCCGCCGATCCGTCGCCCACTCGCGTGAGCGCTCGCGTTACTCCCCCGCCGCACCCTCTTCCTCTCCGCACGCTCCACGCTTCCCCTCCGCAATTCCCTCTCCCCCCCTTTCCTGCTTCCCCCCGCTTCTCCTCCCGCTTTTAGTCTGTCGCAGGTCGTCGCGTGGCGAGGGGCCGCGAAGGGTCGACGTTGCTGTCGCCGCCGTCTTCTGCCCAGTCGCAGTCGCACGCAGCTGGTCGCACGCCCCCGCGGGAATCGGAGGTTCGCAGGCGGGGATCGGCGGAGGCGGCGGCGGTAGTGCGCGGACGGGAGGGCTACAGGGGGAGCGTTGGGGGCATCGGCGTCGGGGGAGCGCTTCAATTGCGCAGCCGCGCGGGCAGCAGGATGAGCGCGGGGGGAAGCAGCGCGGGTGGGGAGCAGCCCAGCACCAGGGGTGGCGCGGGGCTGGAAAGTGGGGGAGGCGGAGGGAGGGCGGTGGGGCGGCGTGTGGCGGTAGTAGCATTGGTGGCAGTGGTGGCGCTGATGCCGCTGCTGACATTCACGACGGTGCTGCAGCGATGGCTGCACGCCGCGTCAGACGGCGAGGGGAAGGTGAGCCGCGCACGCGCGTGATCCGTTAGAGGGCGAGAGAGGGAGGTACGGAAGCAGGGGAAGAAGGAGTGCACTGCAGGGAGGATGCGAGGAAGGCGGGGTTAAAGGAGCGATTCCAGGGATTACTGTGCGTCTTGGTTATGCCGCATGCCATGTGCGGGTGGCTGAGATCAATGCGCCAAAACCATCAACCTTCTGCCTTTCTGCTTCCCCCCACCCCCCCCCCCTCATTCTTTCCTTCCCCCCTCGTTCCCCTCTCCTGCTCTGTTGTTTCTCTCCTGCTCCTTCCGCCCCCCAATCGCCTCCATGGCATGCTCTGTACCCTTGGTCCTTCTCCTCCTCTCTCTCTCTCTCTCTCCCCCTCCTGACCTCCGTTCTGCTCCCCCCTTCACCCCCCTCTCACTGCCAGCAGCCATCCCTTGTGACACATGCTGCCATCCCCCACGCGGCTCGTGGCACTGAGGTGAGGTGGGTGCCGGGGAGGGTTGCGAGGGCGAGAGTGCAGGGCGAGGGAAGAGTCTCAAGCAGCAGGAGGAAGGGGTGGCAACGGCATATGTGGTGCAACATGCACTGTGCATGTAAGGCGATTGGGATCCGATATTGTCGCTCTGTTTACATTGCAGAGCCACGTTGGCTTTCGAGGGTCGGTCATCCATCCACACCGCACTGAATCACATTGAGCCGTCCCTGGCTCTGCCTCTACTCAGCAGCACAGCGACCAGCGCCTCCCTCGTCCCCACCCTCTCCCACCGCCCCTTGCATCCCCCCATCCTCCTCCAGATCCCCGCAGCACCAGCAACGTTAGCCCCAGCCGCAGCAGCAGCAGGATTCGAGCTGCCCTGGCCAGAGGACTCCATGGCGCTGTGCCTCGTCGGGCAGCTACGAACGTTTGAGCTGACCGGGCCGTCCATAGCGGCCAATCTGCTGGGGCGGGAGGGCTACGGGCAGGCGGACGTGTTTGTGGTGGCGCCCCTCGATGAGAACTCCGCCAAGCTCGTGGCGCTGGGGGGGGAGGGGGGGATGGGGGGAGTGGCGGGTATGGAGGAAGTGGGAGGAGAAGGAAAGGGAGGCCCGCGGGTGGTGTCAGTGCGGGTGTTTCCAGACTTCAATGTGAACGAGTCTCTCTACCCCACGCACGCGCTCAAGGGGCTCGAGAACGGCCCGCAGGGGCTGCTGCAGCAGTTCAGCATGGAGGCCATGTGCGCCGCTGACATCGCTCACAGGGAGCGCCGCTACAGCCGCCGCTACAAGTGGCTCATGAAGGCGCGGCCTGATTCGTTTTGGGCGGCGCCGCCCGCCCCGCTGGCCGGCATGGATTATCAGAGCTTGACGGCGCCGGCCGGGCTGGACTTTGGTGGGGTGAATGACCGGCTGGCGGTGGTGCCGCGGGCGGCGGGGCGGGCGGCGTTTTCTCGGCTGCACATGCTGGGTGCCGTGAACGAGGGCAGTGGTGAAGAGGGCAAGTAGGACTCACTGTCCGTCCTTGAGTCCCCCCCTCGTGTTCGCCGCCCAGCTATATTTACCCTCTGTTGAGCTTTTCTTGCCTGGCCCCAGCAGTTGGTCACTCGCTCCCTCTCGCACCTCCCCTCCTCCCCCCGTTTGTGTGCTCCCCTCTCAGGCGGGTGAACGCGGAGACGGTGTATGCGCGCATGCTGCGCCACCTCAACGTGTCCGTGGCGCGCGCCCCTTCCCCTTCTGCCTCGTGTCGCGCCACCAGTTCTTCAAAATGCTCGCCATCCCCAACCTGCGCACCAACCGCGGCGGCGACTACTGCCGCCCCTGTCACCACGAGCCGCCGCCCAATCCCTTTTGCGAGCAGACGGGGCCGTGGGCGGCGGACTGGGCGGTGTTGTTTGACCAGCATGTGCCAGAGCCGCTGGGGGCGGGCAGGCGGGCGGTGATGGGGGTGTTGGAGGGCGGAAGGGATGCGTGCGAGGAGCAGGTTGCGAAGGTGGGTGTGGGGTGGGGCATGTGCTTTCCGCCCATCACATGATGCGTCTACTTCATTCTCTTCTGCCCTGTTGTTCATCATGTTGCCACACATATATCCTGTGCCTCTCTCCCCCCCTCCCCCCCTTATATTGTTCTACTCTCGTATTCCCTTCGTACCACTTCTCAGTTGTCTCTGGAGGTTCGGCGCCGAACCAACCCCTCAGCCTCGTTGACACGCCCACCTACGCCCCTCTCCTCTCACCAACAACAAGCATCTGCTGCCACCCACTCCAGCCGTGCCTCCCTGTGGCAGCACCTTCAGGGTTGGCTGGGAGGGAGGCCAGTCCCGAGTGGGCCAGGAGGAGGGGGGGAGGATGAGGAACAAGCGGCATCAGAGGAGGCGGCGGAGGTGGCATGGCGGGAGGCGGTGAGGGGGGAGGGGTGGCGTGCACCGGCAGCGGCGGTGGTGTGTGTGCGGCACATGCTGGGCAAGGCGGCGGTGTTTGGGCCGTGGGGCACAGGGCGCACTGGCAGCTGGTCTGCCTTCGTCTCCCACCTCTTCCTCCTCAACAACAGGTGGGTGGGCACTACATGCTCTCACCCCTCCTCTCATCTCCTCCTCCCTTGTGCCTCCTCCCCTGCATGCCACCCTCAACCGCTGATACCTTTTGCTTTCTCCAACCACTAACTTTTCTCCCTCTTCTCCTCGCCCTTGTCCTCCCTCCCTCACTCTAGTTTTGAGGCGCCTCAAAACTGTTCTCCTCGCCCTTGTCCTTCCTCCCTCACTCTATTCCACCCCCTCCCCCCCCCTTCCAGCATCGCTCTCTCCCTGCCCGCCGCCCCGCCCTCCACCGACCTCCTCTGGGACGCCCACCTGCTCTCCGCTGTGCCCTCCATGCGCCTCCTGATGCTGCCAAAGACCACCGCCCAACCTGCTGCCAATGCCGACACTGCCGCCCAGCAGCAGTCAGCAGCGGGTGGCAGGGAAGTGGTGGCGGCGTATGAGTCGTCGTTCGCTGAGGCGGTGCGGAGAATCAAAGCGAACGAGGAGGTGGCGGGGCGGGGTGCTGCTGCTGCAGATGCTGATGATGCGCTCAAGGTTGTTGGGGCGGCGATGCGTGTGGACCTGATCAGAGTGAGTGAAGCATATGCAGGCACACATGCATACACTGCCCGCATGTGCATTTGTGCTCATGCATATAGGCACGCACATGCCCACCTGTGCATGTGTACATAGGAACCATCCCCATGTCCCTTCACCTCCCCCACCATCTCTCCAGTTCTCCCTCTCATCTCCCCTCCCCTTTCCCCCGCTTCTGTCCCTCTCCCCTGCCTCACCAGGTGGGAGCCGCCCGTCTACCCGACCTGCGAGTGCTGCTGGTGCGGGGGGTGCGGGCGTGCCAGGTGCTGGTGGACGTGGAGGGTGCGGGGGAGGGCGCGGGGGAGGGCGCGGTGGGGGAGCTCACAGGCACAGGCAGGGCGGGGGGTGAGGGGGTTGGCGGAGGGGGGGATGCTGGTAAAAGGAGGGGTGGTGTGGGCAGGGTGGGAGGGAGGCGGCTGCAGTTGGTGGGGCAGGGGGCGATGCAACAACGGGAGGCAGAAGGGGGGGAAACCGACAGAGGAGGGGGGGATGGGAGAGGAGTGGAGGAATTGGATGCATTCTTACCACCAGACGACCAGCTCTTAGCTAAGTGGCAGGGGGAGGATGTGTTGAGGGAGTTGCAGCGGTGGCTGTCGGGGTGGTCGTTCCATTTGGACCGGTGTGTGTCAGGGAACGAGGAGAGGGTGGGGCGATGCACCTTCTTCTCCCTGGCGCACTGCCATGCACCCGCTGCACTGCAGCAAACAACCACGCGCTAGCATGTGATTACCTGAGCTCATTGGGCTATGTTGTATGACTATTAATTAGTGCAATGTTGCATGGCCAATCCTGTCGTTCACATGAGCCATGCTACCATGCCATGCCATGGCCCACGGAAATGCATCTGTGATTGACAGCACCGAGCACAATGCAGGACGGAAGCTTCCACCCAATTCCCTCAGAAATGGAGCTGATCAGGCTCCTCTGGCTTCGCTTGTGGCTGCTGCATGTTCGAGACATGCATGGGTCATGAGAGAGCGGCTCATAGAAGGTGCAGTTCTGGCATTTCTCAGATCAGCATGTTGCCGTGCCGAATACAACGCATCACTTATTCTGTAAGACTACCGCTTTAGAGCGCCTGAGCTGCATGCCCCCCTCTGCCAAGCTTCTGCAGATTGCAAAGCTTACATCCATCGCCCCCAAGTTTGTTTCACAACACTTGGGAACGGCACCTCCAACACATGAGCAGCTGCTGCTGCAGCAGCGCATGGAAGTTGAGGGCTGTCCATTGTCAAGGGCACTACACTCTGCACACTGCGCCCTCTGAGGCTTTCCTCCTGGTGTGACTCAAACCGTGAGGAGATCCTGGAGGGGGGCAAGGGGGGAGATGGGGGAGGCAGGGTAATGGAGGAATGAAAAGATGCAAACGGCAGAGAACGCGGTTAAGAGAGGTCGAGGCCCGAACTTCGCAGGGTTCTTGAGAATGTGAGAGAAGGGCAAGGAGGGCTTGAAACATTGCGAGGCAGATGTTGCACCACAAAGCACCACAAAGCATGAACCTGCTCCGTACGCCAAGCTCCACGGATCAACCACAGAATCGTCAGCGTGCGCCAAGCACCTCCGAAATGCACCCTTGGTAGTGTTTCGCTAATGGACCGGTCACTGACCTTCTCCTTCTGCTTGAAGGCGGTCTCAATCTGCTTCACATAGTCGTCTGTCATCTTCTGCTCGCGGGGAGCGGGGGGGGGAAGAAGGAGTAGAGGAAGGGCAAGGACGAGTGGGCGAACCACAAGCAGCGTCAAGAAGCTGAGTCGGGCTGAGGGGTAGGCTGAGGGATAGGCTGACTGAGGGGTAGGCTGAGACAGCAGAGAATGTCAAGGAGAAGTAGGTTCACTGCTTGCACGCAAAAATTGCTGGCCAATTCGTGCATGCCACGTCACCTGAATGTCATTTGAGAGGTCCTTGAGAGCATCCTCTGAGATCTTCTTATCCTGCCACGCACCAATGGGAGCACGACACGTGGCATGAGATGAGAAGGGCACAAAAGACAAGGCAAACATGCACCTACTCCTCGCAGATGGCATGGCATGGCATAGCAGGGCATGGCATGGCGTACGTAGTGAACAATAGGTTTGCACAGGACAGGGTGGTGCATGGCATGCGGCATGCGGCACGAGCGAAGGCCGCAAGCATCATGGGGAGCGCTGTGATGTGGAGCGCGGAATGGGGTGGGCGGAATGGGTTGGGCGGAATGGGTTGGGCGGGTACCTTCTGCAGCTTCTCATATGCCTTGAGGGAGTCGCGGCGCACGTTGCGCAGCGCCACCTGGCGGGGATGGGAGGCAGGGGTGGCATGTGGGGTGGGGTGTTCATGCAAGGATGTCCATAGGTGTGCACGCTGGGCGCATGTATGAGATGAGTGTGCTGTGCACGCTCATGGCGGCCCCACGCTTCATCACTAGGGGTTTCCATTCCCACCTCCACCGCATACCACCGCTCACATCCACGTCATACCACCGCTCACCTCCACCTCATACCACCATTATTTCCAAGAGTTTTTACAAGCACTCTACGAACTAACATTCACAGGTGTCATCATAAAGTTGCTGCCACGTATTGACAACATGGCACCACATTGGTGCTCCATTGAACTCATTCCCAACTCCACATCATCCCACGGCTCACCTTGCCATCTTCCGACAGCTTTGAGACCGTCTTCAGCAGCTCCTGGTGCCACCATGCCATGCCATGCCATGCCATGCCATTCCCGTGTCCATAACCACGTCGTCCCAGTGCGGAAGGAGGGGAGGAGGGCGGGAATGGGTGGAAGAGTTGAAGTGAAAAGGCCGGCTTGAGAGGCGGCTTTAGGCGAAGTAAGCATGAAGCAGAGGGGCGGCATCAGCTGACGTCCATCAGCTGACGTCCATCAGCTGGTCAAACCACCACCTCCCCCCCACCTCCCCCCTTCTCCCCCCCCCCTTTCCTCTGTACCCTTCACCTCCTCCTCACCACCCCTACCCTGTACTTCCCTGCCCTCCGTCAGCCACCCTTCGACAGCCTATGCTAGCATTAAAAAGGGTACATGTTCATGCCAGGTCGTGCTTACTGCATGCAGTTTTTACCACAATATACTACACAATATAATACACAATACATATGTATTATAACATGACTACATCAGCGGTTACCTTTCGGCGCTCAGCGGTGAGCTGGGGGATGGAGAGGCGGATGACGTTGCCGTCAGACGAGGGCGTGAGGCCCACATCCGACTTCATGATGGCCTTCTCGATGGACGGGATGCTGGGCGGGGGGACGTAGAGCGGGGGGGGGGGGGGGGGGGTGACGTGGAGGGAGAGGGGGGGGGAGTTGCAGCGCGGAGATGGATGGGAAAAGCTTGAGTTAACAATGATCTGGCACGAAACTGCTGAAACGACAGCAGTGCTACTAGTTGACGGGAAAGCGGTGGGAAGAGAAGGCACCTGGATTTGTCGAAGGGCGTGACGAGCAGCATGGAGGCGTCGGGGGCTGCGATCTGAGCGATGCTCTTCAGAATCACGTTGGCGCCGTAGTACTCCACCTGGCGTGGTGGCACGGCCATGGGAGGGACGGTGGGACGGGCCGTGGCACACAGTTGAGCCAGTTCAGGCATCGAGTGTAGTGAAGTCAGAAATCAGTATGATGCACCACGTTGCAGAAAAGAGGGAGCTCGCAATGCTAAAAGGCGTGAGTGCATGCCACAGGGCGCGCACCTCGATGCGGTCGAGCAGGGCGGGGCTGGCTCGGCCCGTTCTGACGGTGTTGAAGTTGCCCCTCACGCTGTCCAGAGTCTTCTCCATGCGCTCCAGCTGCAGCGCATTGCACCGCATTGAACAGTGGCGGTCGGCAGGATGGCCGCATTGCAGAGTAGGAGTTGGAGGAGTAAGAGAGTGGTGGAGGCAGGAGAGTGAGAGAGTGGTGGAGGCAGGAGAGTGAGAGAGTGGTGGAGGCAGGAGAGTGAGAGAGTGGTGGAGGCAGGAGAGGAGAGTGGAGAGTGCGGGTGGAAGCAGAAGGGATGAGTTGAGGGAAGGGAGGGAGAGAGAAAGAGAGAGTGGTGGATGGGAGCAGGCAAAGGAGAGGCGACACACGTGCTGTGCTGGTGGCGATGGCACGCACAAGCTGCACTCTCACAACGTTGCAGAATGACAGCCCGCTTACCATGCAAGCCCACCATAGTTTACTCTACTCACCGCACTCTCCTCCATCATCACCGCCACTCACCGCGCTCTCCTCCATCATCACCGCCACTCACCGCGCTCTCCTCTGTCATCACCGCCACTCACCGCGCTCTCCTCTGTCATCACCGCCACTCACCGCGCTCTCCTCCATCATCACCGCCACTCACCGCGCTCTCCTCTGTCATCACCGCCACTCACCGCGCTCTCCTCTGTCATCACCGCCACTCACCGCGCTCTCCTCCATCATCACCGCCACTCACCGCGCTCTCCTCTGTCATCACCGCCACTCACCGCGCTCTCCTCTGTCATCACCGCCACTCACCGCGCTCTCCTCTGTCATCACCGCCACTCACCGCGCTCTCCTCGATCATCATGAGCTCCTCCTCCACCTCCTCATCCGCTGCCGCCCGCACGCCCACCGGCCGCCCCACGCTGGCCGGGCACGGATGGGGGAGGAAGAGGGGGAGGGAAGGGGTGGAGGTGGGAGGGGCGGAGGGGAGCTGGTTGAGAGGGTATGGCATATGGGTGACTATGGGGGGCGGAGGGGGAAGGGGGAGTATGGGAGGGTGAGCGAGAGGTTGAAGATGGCGGGACTCTGGAGGAGGAATCTGGGGGGCGAGGGGAGAAGGATGTCTTGGGAGAGGCAGAGGGGGAATGCGGGGGGCCAAGGGGCACCATAAGCTTAACCTACCCTAGGTGAGCCGCTCGACGCGAGTCGCAGCGTTGCCACGAGCTGATGCGAGCTACGCTGGATAACGAGCGATGGGTGCATGCGGCCTGGGGGCTGCGACGAGCAGGCAGAGAGGCGACGTGCGTCACACGGCCTTGCGACGAGGGTGTCGAACCTGGCCAGGCACGGGAGGGGAGGGACGAGAGGGAGGGTGTGATGCGACGGTCGGGATGGGTGCGGGAATGGCGCAGCGCCTCACTTAGGGAAAGACATGGCAGGGGATTGCAGGCGGAATTGAAGCCATGACGCGGACTAGGAAATCGAGGCGTGATGGTCGGCGGGGGACGACCCACGCCGCTAAGCCACGACGCGACCTAAATCTCAACTGAATATAAATCGCGAGGCACCACGGCAGGTGCCATAGGTACGAACACAGCGAGAAGTCCAGCGCCGCATCGAGAAGTACCTATACACCGCAATGTGCGGCAATCAGCCACTGCCGTGGCAGCCATGGACGCCATTCCACGTCAGCGCGAACTGAGGGGGCGAGCAAGCAGGCAGTGCGTGTGAAGTGGGAGTGGTGGCGCGGCAGCAGCGATCAAGGAGAGGCGAATGGCGGCGAGCAGTGGTCTGAGGAGCTGGGATGGTTGCAGCAAGCGAGGAAGCGGCAGAGTTACGCAAGGCAGACAGGCATGCAGCGGAGAGGCGGAGGGAAATAATGAGGGCGGAGGCTGACATCTTTGGTGAGCCCAGCCCAAGGCGTGGCTTGTGCTCTCTCCACCACCTCGGCATTCCCAGGAGAACAGATTTGACGCCACGTCGGACTGACGATCTCGCAAGGACTTCCAGGTGGCATAAACACCTAATCTATTATTTACACTGATGGGAGAACATGTCTGGATGGTGTAGTCGGTTATCACGCCAGTCTCACACACTGGAGGTCTCCGGTTCGATTCCGGGTTCAGACACTGTCTTTTGACCAGCAGCTGCTAAACGTTGTGGTAAGCTCGAATGGCGAAACAGTGAGGGCTGTCACTATCATCTTCCCCGTTGTCCTGCTGCTTCACTAGCATTCTTTGATCTCCTCTTCTCGTCCCTTCATCCTCTCCTCTCCCCTTCAGTGACTTCATTCCATCATCTCAAATCTCTTTCTCATCCATCCAAGATATGGCTGTCTAACATGCTCCCTCTCGTATGACATGTTGACTATTTTCCATCGGCCCCTGCCTCTTTGTACGTAAACATCCTTCCGCCAGGACTAGGCCGAGCCCAGCTTCGATGGCTTCAGTCATGCACTGCAGCACGTTCAGATACAGCGGCAATGTGGTATGAGATGCTGGGGAGCTGCATTTGCGGTTTCTGCGCTCGTGGCACCACATATGTGCTGTGCTTGATGATATCGATGAAAGTGCTACAGCTGGCATCTCGTTTGTGTGTGCTTGCATCAGTGGCACACAACCTCAACCAGGGTTCGTGACCTGCGTCCCAATACCTCCCAACTCCCTGTCATCTATCTGATCCTCAATGTAGCTTTTCAAGTTTCTGTTTTGCCCTTCCCTGCACTTCCTTTCCTTGTTTTAGACCAACCTTGTTTTGTAAAACATACCACTAGAAATTAGAGGCTTTGATGGGGGCAAAACGTGTCGGTGCTGGGATTCGAGCCCAGGTCTCCACGGCCACAACGTGGGATTCTAACCACTAAACTACACCGACTTGTTGGACAGTTTCGTTTAAATAATTCGTACCTTTTTCATCACGTGAAAGTTAGCTTTAGTGATTTCAGTCTCGCCTCTGGGGGTGCCTTTCAAGTTCACTGTGTGCTGCAATTTGTAACTCCATGTGTAGCACGTTTTTCGACCGTCCATTTTTCACAGATCTGCATCTGACGGTCCGCACGCAAACTCTTCTTTCCAAAGCACCACCAGTAATTCGGAGCTCAATCTCAACCGTCCAAAATCTTGTGGTCGAATCTGACGGTGCACGAACACTTTGCAGTTCACGAGGAAAAACACCCTCGCGATTTTCCCGTGCGTTTCGTAAAACAGCACGCCCAGAGTTCTTACATGGTGCGTTTGAACAATTTGGGCTGCGGGTTTTAAAAATGCAAACGAAACGTATTTAGTCATAACCACACACGACTGACCGATTTCAGCTTTTACACGCTGCTCATTGAGTGCAATAACGTCTTCTTGACCAATCAAATCGAAAGGGTCAATTTTAGGAAGCAGCGGCAGTGCAATATAGTCAGAATGACAGGCAGACCTTGCGGGGGCACTGTAGTCAGAGCGCCCATTTAGACCTTTCGGTAAATGACTCGCCTCTCTCGCCGATACTCCACCTCTCCCCGTGCCACCATGATGAGCAGTGCTCGCCGCACCTAATGCATGCAGCATGATACATGCCATGCCACATGCCATGCCACATGCCATGCCACATGCCATGCCACATGCCATGCCACATGCCATGCCATATGCCACATGACATGCCACATGCCATGCCATATGCCACATGCCATGCCATATGCCACATGCCACATGCCACGTGCCACATGCCCCATGTCGAGTGATACAGGCGACGCAGGCGTGTGAAGACTACACCACATGCAAGCTGAGCACCAGGTGGGCGACAAGATGGACGCATGGTGGCCAATAGGATGCCATGCAGCCCGCTGACATGGCAGCATGATGCCATGATGACATGCTCGAGGCGAATCAGACGGCGACACACTCATCCTCACACGATCCCCCACTAACAGCGCTCTCGCGGATCCCCGACCGCGTGATGTCGTCCAGCAGGCAGGTTTCATGACACGCCCACATGCATATCATGACACACCCACATGCATATCATGACACACCCACATGCATATCATGACACACCCACATGCATATCATGACACACCCACATGCATATCATGACACACCCACATGCATATCATGACACACCCACATGCATATCATGACACACCCACATGCATATCATGACACACCCACATGCATATCATGACACATCCCATCAGCATGTGACTCACCGCGCTCTCGCTGATCCCCGACCGCGTGATGTCGTCCAGCAGCCGCCGCTCCGACACGAATCCCCCGATGGCCACGCGGCGCCGCACCGCGCCCTCCACCTGCTGCACCTCGCGCCGTTGCTCGTCTGTCAGCACTGCGCCGTCCATCACCCCCGACCGGGCGGCGTCCAGTGTTGCGACATGGAAAAGGCGAAGCGCCTCGGTGACGTGCTCCTCTGTGGCCACTGGGGAGCTGAGGGGGGGAGAGGGGGAAGTGAGAGAGGGGAGGAGAAGAGGGGGGAATATTGGGGGGAGTATTGTTCGGATCAGATTCAGTAGGAATATGTTATACATGACCCTCACAACTGCATTCCATGTCACGGACAGCTGCATGCCACGTCACTCACAGCTGCATGCCACATCACTCACAGCTGCATGCGAGCCATGGACTCTGAGAGTCTCACGATGGCCTCCAGCTGGCGCACCGTGATTGGCAGCGCTGACGCCTCCCCCGTCTCCGTTGCTCTCCGCCGCATGTTCTGACAGGAGAGGGGGCGATGTGGTGTGGGGATGATGCCATGTCACGTGATGCGGCACGGTGAGGTGAGGTAAGGTGAGGTGGGGTGCAATGTGACATGGTGTGGTGTGCTGTGATGCAGTATTTCCCCTTGTAACAAGCCCCAACGCAACACGACAGCAAGCTCACCTGCCAGATATTTTTTGAATTCTAAAAAAGAACCCCACCTGTCGGATCTGCACGTAGCTGTTCTGCAGCAGCGTGGCAGCCGACTCCGACAGCCGCGGGGAGCAGCGCGAGCGAGCGAACTCGATGTACCTGGGGGGGGGGGAGGAAAGAAGGAATAGGCGGGGGAGGGGGAGGAGGAGCTTTGAAACCTCCCCTTGAAGCGAGTAGACTCTATGTACGCGGGGACGAAACGAATGGGGATACTGAACACGACAGCCCATACCACCCTTGCCAGCACCCTTCCACCTCCGTGAGGAGTCTATTTTTGAGGCGCCTCAAAAATAGGCCCATACCACCCTTGCCAGCACCCCTCGTCGGTCCTTCTCCACCTCCCACCCCCACTTCTCACATCCTCCCACGCCTCACCTCTTGAGCCAGTCCTCACCTCTTGAGCCAGTCCTCACCTCTTGAGCCAGTCCTCACCTCTTGAGCCAGTCCTCACCTCTTGAGCCAGTCCTCACCTCTTGAGCCAGTCCTCACCTCTTGAGCCAGTCCTCACCTCTTGAGCCAGTCCTCACCTCTTGAGCCAGTCCTCAACTCTTGAGCCAGTCCTCACCTCTTGAGCCAGTCCTCACCTCTTGAGCCAGTTCTCACCTCTTGAGCCAGTCCTCACCTCTTGAGCCAGTTCTCACCTCTTGAGCCAGTCCTCACCTCTTGAGCCAGTCCTCACCTCTTGAGCCAGTCCTCACCTCTTGAGCCAGTTCTCACCTCTTGAGCCAGTCCTCACCTCTTGAGCCAGTTCTCACCTCTTGAGCCAGTTCTCACCTCTTGAGCCAGTCCTCACCTCTTGAGCCAGTTCTCACCTCTTGAGCCAGTCCTCACCTCTTGAGCCAGTTCTCACCTCTTGAGCCAGTCCTCACCTCTTGAGCCAGTCCTCACCTCTTGAGACAGTCCTCACCTCTTGAGCCAGTTCTCCTGCTCTCCATCCTTCCCCGTGTGCCCCACTCCCCCTGCCCCCGCGGGCCCGTCCCCCATGCCCTCGTCCCCCCGCGCCACCACCGCATCCGCCCTCGCATGCACATTCACCACGTGCCGCGCGATTTGCTGCGTGGGGTAAGGGGCAGCATGGGGGTTAGTTTGGGGTTTGAGATGGTGGAATGCGGTGAGAAGGAAGGAAGGGATGATGGAGAGAGGGCGACACAGGGGGCAGGGCCAACAGGATCGAGTGGCATGGGGCGATGGGAGGGATGCAGTGGACGGGTGGTCGGGATGCATGGCACGGTCAACGAGAAAAGACGGCCCAGAGAAACAGTGGCAGCAAGACAGCAGCAGAGAGACGAAAGTGTGAGAGGGAAAGCAGGAGTGGGAGGGTGGGAGAGGGAAAGCAGGAGTGGGAGGGTGGGAGAGGGAAAGCAGGAGTGGGAGGGTGGGAGAGGGAAAGCAGGAGTGGGAGGGTGGGAGAGGGAAAGCAGGAGTGGGAGGGTGGGAGAGGGAAAGCAGGAGTGGGAGGGTGGGAGAGGGACGCACGAGGTCGCGGTTGAAGTCGCGGGTGTCCTTGACGACAAAGATGAGGTCGAAGCGCGACAGAATGGTGCTCTGCAGGTCAATGTTCTCCTGGGCTGTCTGCAGGTGGTGGTGGTCGGAGGGGTGGAGGAGCAGGGAGGGAGGCAGGGATGGGATGTGGTGCATGCATCAAGCACGTGTGGGCAACACAGAACAAACAAGTGCAATATGTGGCAGCACGTAGCAGCGCGTGGCAGCACGTGGCAATCACCACACCATTTCACCGCCCTCACCTTGAGATCGTCATATCGGCCAGACGGCGGGTTGGCGGCGGCGAGCACGGAGGTGCGGGAGTTGAGCACCGTGGTGATGCCCGCCTTGGCAATGCTGATCGTCTGCTGCTCCATCGCCTCGTGGATCGCCACCCTGCACACCCATGGAGCATGCAGCATGCAGCATGCACCATGCAGCATGCACCATGCACCATGCACCATGCCCCACACCACACAGCACATGCACCA